GTACAAAGAATAATAAATTTAAGAAAACTATATCTACTCATCCCTATGATATCTCTGGCCAGGAATGTTGAGGTGGCTTCCCGTCCCAAAGGTGCGATCACGTCGTTGTCGTCTCAGTCTTTAATGAACAACGGATTGTGTGCTCGGGCCTCCTATGTCTGTCCCGCTTGTGTTTCAATTCACTGGTGTGCCCGCATAAGGAGGACGAGACTCAAATGATGGTTGTGCATGATGAAATGACGAACCCGAAAATGCATTTGTCAGTGTATAGTACTGGTCGGGACTATAATACGGCGGTGGATAAAAAAAATAGAGATCCGTGAAGAGAATTAAGGCGAATAGGCGATGTTCGTTGTTCGTCGTTCCCTCCTTCATCTCCATCGCCCTCTTCTTCATCTCGGTCACCATCTTCCTCATTTTCATCGTCTTCATCCCCATCACTCTCTTCCTCATCTTCTTCATATTCATCTTCATCTCTGATATGTGCTATTTAGTAGTGCATAAACACCACATTTTAGAATGATTTTACGTTGTGTTTACTTATTTTTTTTATACAATTACGGTGTAATCTTTATCTTTTAAATAAGTCTGGAATTAGAAGATATTAAGAGATTTTGGCATGTAAGAAATAAACATGATGAAAATAAAGAGAAAGGAGCTTGAGAGCATAAGGAATGAGCTTAAAGACCAGAGGAAGCTTCATGAGAGCCAAAGAAATGTGAAGAATTCAGGTGTCAAAACGATTTTGCAGAATAAAACAACATGCAAGGATTTTTTGAAGATTTGGCTTATACCCGATCGGGTATACCTACATATCCGATCGGGTATGACTCTAAATGCAACTTTCTGGGCTACTGCCTACGATACCCGATTGGGTACCCTATATACCTGATCGGGTATCCGACCTTACAAGCTCTAAACCCCTATAAAAACATCGCTTTCCTTCTCATTTGAGATACCAATCATGTAACATTATTTGAATTATTTTGAATTAATCAAATAATAATGTCCCATAAGTGTGGTGCAATGATGGCGGATATTTGTAACGGTTTCCGTTACAAGAGCCACCTTGATGGTAGGTGGCTATATAAGTGCTCCATGGTCCTCCCACTCCTCCATCACAACATACATTCACACGCATGCTTAGCTCCATATAGCTCATTAGGCTCTAAGCAATATACACCATATGGAGTGAGGAGTGAAGTGGGAGACGAAAAGGCTTTCCGGTGTTCTTCTATGTTCTTTGACCGTTCATCAACAATATGGCTGGAGGTTAGCGATCCTATTATTTCCGCTGCGTCTATATGATTTTAGGCTAACATTTGGCATCAGAGCCTGTTTAATCTCTGCCTATTTGTTGTATGAACATCATGAAATTTATATGAACATTCGGTATATACATGTTTATATATGTGTTCATCACATCACATATATTTGTATATGTCTTGTTCATATATCATATCACATTGTATATGTTTTTGTTTGTATATTATTAATATACATATGCATACGTTTAACATGATTCTGCCATACGCATGAATTATATGTTTGTAACGTGAATCATGTTTATATGTGTTCATATTAGGGCTGGGATCGGTTCGGTTCTTACTCAAAATGAGTGGAACCGTTATAAAAGTTTTAACTAATGAAATCGGTTCGGTTCCTATATAAAAAATCAAGAACCGAACCGGTAGTAAACAGTTCGGTTCTTCCTTTTACCGGTTCCTAGAATAATTTTTTCTCATCTAAGAATTAACACATAATTTACTTTCTACAAACAACATAAACACGTCAAAAATTCAAAACACGAGTATTAAAATTTTAATAATGAACTGTGAACACTTGATAGAACAAAAGATGATTTAAATTTTCATGTAAAAAATAAAACATAAAAATTGTTGTAGTGTGTGAGCGATGTAGGTTACTCGTCATCATAGTAGCAAGAATAGGATGTCTACTACAAGTCTTTCAAAACATAAAAAAATACATTGAGTTCGCATGTATAGATATAAAAAAACAATATTATATTCTATTGATTCATAATAAATATAATAATTAGAAATATCATGAATATAGTAAAGTAAAATATGTGCAATCAACTACAAGTTATTTGAGTTATTTTATATTTATAAAATTTATATGATGGAACAAAACTTGATTTGTAGAAATGAGTTTAATGTATTATATCAACCTCATGTACAATATTTATTGCTTCGTTGTCGGTGATTAAATTAGAATTGTTAGTTAAATATCTTATATTGTTTTATTATTGGTGTTGTGGTGGTGGTTATTATTGCTATTATATTATTGTTGTTGTTGTTGTTGTTGTTGTTGTTGTTGTTGTTACTACTACTACAGCTAATATTATTTTATTTTTTATTTTTTTAAATAACGGTTCCTTAACGGTTCCATACACATATTTTTTTATAGGAACCAAGAACCGAACCTTTATAACCCGCTTCGGTTCGGTTCCGACAATTGAGGTATTAATTGTTAACGGTTCGGTTCCTAGATGTTGTTAACGGTTCGGTTCCAATCGGTTCTACGGTTCCAGGTTTCAAAATCCCACCCCTAGTTCATATGGAAGCATGAATTTTTATGTGTGTTCATATGACACATTTGTGTGTGTTCGTATGACACACGTATGTATACATATGATTGTGAGAAATATATACATATGTTTTTCTCAAGTTCATATGTTGACCTTTTAAATTCCTATCATTATGCTTGATGGAATGGCTATGGTTACATTTAAGTCTTGAATATATGTGTTCTAAATGAATTATGTATATATTTATGTGAGCCGGGTTTATATACACATGTTTTGCAAATTTTGTGATTCTTCAATCCGTTTATAATTTGGAAAAGGTGACAACTCCGGTACCCATTTAAAAAATGGTGTACCGTACCTACTATGCATTTGATTGGTCCAAATCATTATATCTTTTTAATTTAGATTTAAATAATTCAACTGCATCATTCATATTGGTCCATTTGGACAAAGGTACGGTATATTTGGGGTACCATAGAATCTACCTTTGGAAAATATAAAACGGATGGCTAGTTAATAATTTTGATGTATTTTACATGCATACATATGGTGTTTCAACATGTATATATAAAATATATTGAACATGTAATATTTTGTATCTATGTTTGGTATTTGTATGTGTGGTGGAGATGCTATCGGAAATGGTGGCCACCGGAGGATGTAGCACCATAGGGTGCTGCGGTGGTAGTGCCATGAGGAGTTTGGTACGGCATCATAAGGAACGCCGTGACTCCAATATGTTTTTCCGAATTTCTCCATGAAGTTATAGAATAAGTTTTGGACTTATTACTATATTTTGGATCAATTAATTTGGATTTTGGAACACTTTAATTCTTTTTGCAGCACATTTATTTTAATTATTACGTGATGCATTGATTTTAACTTTTATGCATTGCATTCAAATTGTGCATTGAAGTTGTGCACTGTATTAATGCGGCATGAAATGCATAACGTTAGATATTAATGCCTTTAATGCGTATTATTAATATCTTTAATGTGTAACGTATTATTAATGCCTTTAATGTGTAACGTCATTGATGTCTTTAATGCGCAATGTTAATACGTAACGTCTTAAATTAGTGCCTTGAATGCATAATGTCGGGAATCAATGCACATATTATTCCCATTAAAGTTGAACTTATGCATAATTGTAATTGAGATAGTGCCTAAAAATTTAAGCACATTGAGTAAATAAAGTTCTCATTCCGTTACCTTTAAAGTTTTTTCCATAAATAAAATATTTGTGGTAGTACCCAAACAACAATTTACGTGATAAACTTGAAACGGGGAAAATTCTTGGGAAGTACAAACTAGTTATGCTTCAATTTTGATACTAGTTTCCCTTGAACTGTTATTTATCTAAAGAATTATTCTTTAATAAATTTTAGCCTCGACCAACTATCCTGGGAGCATATTTGGGGATTGTCCATCACGAATGTTGTTTTAAACTTTAAAGGATTGCCTTTGTGATAATATAATTTTATTGATTTTGGAGTAGCCATAGCATCCTTAATTAATTAAAATTATATATTAAGAAGCCTTTGGCGAAAATCACATTAAAGTTGGGCATAACATTTGTAATTAATTATACGTAATACGACATAATTTATCCCACATGAAATTTTGTTATATTTATATGATTAATTAGGATAAAATATCGGACTATGGTCATAATTTATCCCACAGGAAATTATGATTCGGAATATAGTTTGATATGTTTATCGGTATGGGTACAAAATTATTTAAGACTCATGCATAAGAATTTAGCCCACAGGCAATTTTTATGGCGGTTGAGTCATCATGGTGCATCATTTACATTGGTAATGCATGCAATTAAGTTGTATATGTACCTCAAAACTAACACAAGCTATATATGGACCCTTTTCAGCTTCTCAACCCATTACTCATTCCGAATTTTCGTTAGGCCTTGAAATTCCCTGTTGGGTTAAGGGCCCAAGCCGAGGTCCGGCCCACTAACCCATTTTGCTAGACGAACATCCAGTTAGAACACTAGGCCAACCCACGGGCCCATGTTCCCTGAGGATGGACGAACGTCTGGTGTTGGGGGACTCAGGCCCAGCAGCTCATCCCGACGAACGTATATGCAGGGACAAGGAGCAGAACCACGGGCCACCAGGGATGGCGACGAACGTCCCCACTACAAGCCTGTAGTCATCGGGGAAACCCAGTCCGCATGACGAATACCATCCAAGGCCAGGAGACGAACAGCCGATATCTCTCAAGGGTACACTTGGAGCAATCCAACTCACTTCCCGGGTTGATGAACGTCCCCACTAATCCGGCGGGAAACCTAGATTCTGGCGGGAAGTGCATTTAATGCTAAAGATTTGGTAGTTGGGACACCAGCGGTCCACAGGCTGCCACGTCACTACAGCCACCTGCCCATTGGCGGGTATAAATAGAAGCATTTATTTCATTGTAAGGGGTTGGCAACTTTCTATTCTTAGCACTAGCTATAGCATCCTTACTCGCAGCACTTCTACTGCCTTGTAAGACGAACGGCCGACGGAGCCCTTAGCAAGAAGTATTGTATTAGGGAGTTATTAAGAGATAATAATACCGAACCATTTACTTGCTACTTCTTGTTCTCTATAGTTCATATCATCTGCTTGTTGGGTTAGATATCATACACTCACTCCACTCGAAATCTTTGGGCTTACGTGTTGGGTCCAAGGGTTGAAGGAATAAACCTCAACACTGGCGCCGTCTGTGGGAAACTGAACTAAAAGTTTCCAAAAAACTCTCCCGAAACAGCTACTAAATCTACCCAAAACAGGCGCGATGACAAGAAGCAACCGCCAACGCGATCTCTCCGAGCAGTTGTCCCGCGGACGAAGCAACCGCGGGCAAACCACGGAATACTCCGAGACGTTGGGGACGACTGGGGGTGAGGGTGGACTCACAAACCTCATCCCCCACGAAGCCAGGCGTGACCCTCGACTCATGAGGGAACTGGCGGAAACAATGCGCCGAATGGCGGACGAACAGGAAGCGAACGAAGAGGTGTATTCAGCCAACACCATCTGGACGCCCATATCACCTGTCCGCCGCATGCAGACCCTGGATGAGACAGCGGAATCTGCCGGGCACCGGACACCCATCCACATGAGGCTGGGTCAGAATCCGTCTTCCCATGGAGCTGGAGGGCACACCAGCGCCAGTACCCCCCGCTATGGGTGGCAAGATGACCACCGGGGACGCACGCCGGATGTCCCCTCCGAACAGCGGGGCACCATCATTACCCCCCGCCGCCAGTAATATTGGACGACGTTTCCAAAGACATGGCGCCCATATCACACGAAGGCAGCCCGACGCGGCCGCCCCACGAAGGAACATTGCGCTCGAGGCCGCCCCTCCTGTGTCCCCCGGAAGGGCCGCACAGGAGGCCCGGCTAGAGGCAATGGAGCGGCGATTAGCCGAAATGGACAGACGGGCGGAGGCCACCCCAGCCACGCCGCGCTTCTCCCTCACGTCACCCTTCACCCCGAGGGTCATGAATGCAGAAATTCCACGGGACTGCAGGCCGCCCCAGGGAATAGTGTACAACGGGACCGGAGATCCTAAGGCGCACCTGATCAGTTTCCAGGGGAACCTCTCTATGCTAGGGGCATCTGATGAGGCCATCTGCCGACTCTTCTTCAGCACCCTGAGAGGTCCGGCGCAAGAATGGTTCGGGCAGCTGAGGCCCGGATCCATTGATAATTACGAACAGCTGTCCCAGCAGTTCATGGCACAATTTGCTGCCAGCACCACCCCCAAGAAGAGCTTCACATCGCTCACAAGTGTGAAGCAGGGGAAGGACGAACCTCTGGCCCAATTCCTGGTCAGGTGGAGAGATGAGGTGCTTCAGGTGGATGATCTGGACGAGCGGCTGGGGGTGAACATGTTCACCAGCGCTCTAGCAACAGGGGACCTGTACCGGGACCTTCGGAGAAACCCCAGCACCAGCTACACCGAGGTGCTGGCTCGGGCACAGAAGTACGCCTCCATCGAGGAGGAGATCAGATTGAGGGACGGCGCACCTGCCGCCCCCTCCCGGAAATTGGCGGATAGACTCGGTCCCGGAGGCGGGCCATCCCCCCCAAGCAAAAAGAAGAAGACGGACGGCGGCATGGTTCCGTGGAAGGCTCATTCGGAGGCCGACCGCGCACGCCCGGAGGGATACTACGTCCCTCTGGCCTACCCCGTCAGCCAGATTTTTAACGCAATCAAAGACAAGGGCATCCTGAGGGAGCCCCAAGACAAGAAGGCACTCATGGGTCAGGATGAGACCGCATATTGTGAATACCACCAGAGGGTCGGCCACCTCACCGACAACTGCAGGCAACTGAGAACGGCCATCGACGAGCTGATCCGGCAAGGCTACCTGGGCGAGTTCACCCAGCTGCTAAAGAAGAATAGCCCGAGGCAGCCGAACCCGAGATCACGATCATGGCGCCGCGACGACCAGCGCGAGGCGGAACCTAAGGACGTAGACTATCGGAGTGCTGATAAACGTCCGGAGGGGTCCCTCGGCCCGAACGGCGGAAAGAAGAAGTTGGAGATCAAAGTGATCTTCGGGGGCGCTGAGACTGGGGACACGCCTGCGGAACGGAAGAGGTTCGAAAGGTCCCTCTATGTGGGCTCTGTATCAGCACCCCCCGCTAAAAAGAACAAGGTAGAGGCCATCACCTTTGGACCAGCCGACCTACCGATGTCACCGGCCCCCCACAGGGATGAGCTGGTGATCAGCATGGATGTCAACAATGCGATCGTCCGACGCGTCCTTGTGGATACGGGCAGCAGCGTGAACGTCCTCTACTGGGAGGCATTCGAAGGGATGAAGCTGAGGAAGGATCAGCTGGCCCCCCTACGTACCCCTCTGTCGGGCTTCACGGGGGACTGCATCGATGCGGAGGGTACCATCGGCCTCCCCGTTGAGATCGGGGATGGTCCTCACACCACCCACATCCGGATGACATTCGTTGTGGTCCGCCTGAAATGTGCTCACAACGCAATTTTGGGCCGACCCGGCTTGGAGGATCTTGAGGCTATCTGCTCCGTGCGGCACTCATGCATCAAATTCCCCACCGAGACAGGGGTGGGAGTCGCCCGCACAGATCCGCACATGGCCAGGGCCTGCTACACTAAAGCCATGGAGAGGTTCAGGGAGCGAGAAGCCCGGGTCAACAGCATTACTGAGAAAACCAGGCAGGCTGACTGCGACGCTCGTCTGGAACCGGCTGCCCTGCTCGAGGAAGTGGAACTGGATGATCCCTCGGACAGGAAGGTGTCCATCGGCGCCGATCTCGAACCTAAGATCAAGGAGGGGGTCATAGCTGTCCTCCGGAAGTTCAAAGTCCTATTTGCCAGAGGGCCGGAGGACATGCCCGGGATAGACCCCAACCTCATCTGCCACAGACTCGCCGTACGGCCGGATGCCAAGCCCATACAGCAGAAGAAGAGATACATGGCAGCCGAACGGCGGGAGTTCATCAAAAAAGAGGCGGCTACGCTCCTCAACATCAGGCACATCCGGCCGGTCATCCACGTGGAGTGGTTGGCCAACGTAGTGTTAGCCCCGAAGGGCGACACGTGGCGGATGTGCGTTGACTATTCGGACCTCAACAAGGCCTGCCCGATGGATCCGTATCCAGTGCCGAGGATCGATTTGCTCGTAGATGAAACGGCGGGCTGCGAGCTGCTCAGCTTCATGGATGCATTCAGGGGCTACCACCAGGTGTTCATGCATCCTGATGATGCAGAGAAAACGGCGTTCGTCACGGCGGAGGGCGTGTACTGTTATGTGGTCATGCCGTTCGGTCTGAGGAATGCCATGGCCACCTTCCAGAGAATGATCGGGATGTTGTTCAAAGACGTACTAGGAAAAACAATGGAAGCTTACGTGGATGACATCCTGATCAAGAGCAAGAGGAAGGAGGACCACGTCCGGGATATGGAGAGGATCTTCACCATCATGGAGGAGGCTAGCATGAGACTAAATCCAAAGAAGTGTGCCTTTGCCGTCAAGGGCGGCAAGTTCCTCGGCTACATGATGAGTGAGCGGGGAATCGAGCCTAACCCGGAGAAGGTAAAGGCAATAGTTGACATGGAGGCCCCGAAGAACCTGAAGGACGTGCAGCGCCTCACCGGAAGACTGGCAGCCCTGAGCCGATTCATGTCAAAACTAGCAGATAAGGCCATTCCCTTCTTTCAGATCATGAAGAAGGCAAACCCCTTCGAGTGGACCCCAGAGTGCCAAGCCGCCTTCGAGGAGTTCAAAATATACCTCTCCTCTCCGCTCGTCCTCACCAAGGCGGACCCCGGGGAACAACTATACATGTACTTGGCAGTGGCAGACTTGGCTGTGAGTGCTGTGCTACTTAAGGAGGCGGAGGGCGTTCAGCGGCCAATCTATTTCGTGAGCAAGGCGCTGAATGGTCCGGAGACCAGATACACGCTGATGGAGAAGACGATCCTCGCCTTGATAGCATCTATCAAACGCCTGGCCCCGTACTTCCAGGCACACCCAGTGATCGTATACACGACACAGCCTCTCGCCACGATCCTCCGGAACCCCATGGCCAGCGGGAGGATAACCAAATGGTCCCTGATGATCGGCCAATACAACATTGAGTTCAAACCAAGGCCGACGATCAAGGGCCAGACGCTGGCAGACTTCATTGCCGAATGCACTGCGCGCACCGAGGACGATCCCCAAGGCGACAATGATTTCAACAGCTGGTGGGAAATGTACACTGATGGGGCCTCGAGTGCGAAGGGTTGTGGCGGGGGAGCGGTGATTACCTCACCTGAAGGTTTCAAGGCCTACTACTCCATGAAGTTTGAATTCAAAGTCACCAATAACGAGGCTGAATACGAGGCGCTAATTGCGGGACTGAAGTGTGCAAAGGCACTCGGCGCAGCTCGTCTCAAGGTAAGGATGGACAGTCAACTGGTGGTAACCCAGATGAATGGGACGGCCGAAACCAGGGAAGAAAGGATGAAGATCTACAAGGAGCTCGCGGAGGAACAAACCGCGCAGTTCGAACAGGTGATAATTGAGCAGGTATCGCGGGTGGAGAACGCCGAGGCTGATATATTATCCAAGCTAGGCAACCCCCCAAGCGATGACCCCACAACGAGCATCCCCCGGCACATCAAGGGCTTCGTCAGGCAGGAGACGCTCCTGACACCGGCGACGGACGTCATCCGGGTAGAAGCCATCTCCATCGCCGAACCTAATTGGTCGAAGGAGATCGCAGACTACCTCAGGGATGGGACGCTCCCCGAGCCTGAGGATGATGGCAGCACCGGACGAGCAGCATGGATAAAGAGGAGGGCCCCCAACTTCGAGCTCATTGATGGGCAGCTCTACAAGAAGACGTTCGGAGGGCCATACTTGAGGTGCCTCCCACCGAGCTTGGCAGCGGCTGTCATTGAGGAGATACATGAAGGCATCTGTTCCAGTCACCAAGGCCCTCGTACTTTGGCTCGGAAGATCATCTTGCAGGGGTATTACTGGCCGACCATCCAGCAGGACTGCTTCAACCACACTCGGAGGTGTGCGGTATGTCAGCAATATGCCCCTGTCCCCGGTCGACCGGCAAGCTTCTACACCCCGATGACGATTGCATTACCCTTCGCCAGATGGGGCATAGATCTACTGGGTCCTCTCCCGACGACGACCGGCGGAAGGAAGTTTGTTATTGTGGCGATTGACTACTTCACCAAGTGGGTAGAAGCCGAGCCGCTGGCCTCCATCACCGAATATCAATGTCAGAGGTTCCTCTGGCAGAGTATTATATGCCGCTTTGGGATTCCAGAACAGGTCATCACCGACAATGGCCGGCAGTTCGTCGGCAGAGGATTTGAGGCATACCTGGCGAAGTGGGGCATCAGGCACTCCAAGGCCTCGGTGGCCTACCCGCAGGCCAACGGCCAGGTGGAAAACATGAACAGGACCATCATGGATGGAATTAAAAAGAAATTGGAAGATTACGCATCCACCTGGCCGGAGCAGCTCAATTACGTGCTCTGGACGTACAGAACAACCCCACGGACGGCAACCGGCGAGACACCTTTTGCTTTGGCGTACGGATTCCAGGCCAAAGTACCAACAGAGGTGCTGGTGCCCACGCATCGCACGAAACACTTCCAACCAAAAGACAACGAGGCAAACCTACGGGCGGAACTCCATTTCATTGAGGAGCGAAGAGACCTAGCAGCTCGTCGCATGGAGGAATATCACCGAGCCACCCAAAGATACTTCAACAAGGCGGTGAAGATCCGCGAGATTGAAGCAGGGGACCTCGTACTCAGAAAAAGGGAGAAGAGCAGGCCGCTCGAAGGAGGCAAAATGGCCAAAAACTGGGAGGGGCCGTACAGGGTCATGAGAAGATACAACCAGGGGACGTTCCTTCTCCACACATTGGAGGGGAACCACGCTGGAATTTGGAATGTCGAACACTTGAAGAAGTTCTACCAATAATTAGAGATAGATCGTTGTAATATTTTGGTCGAAGTACCATGTAACACCACCTATCGTCATCTCTATATTAAAAGGATTATTTCTGTTCTTCACTTCCTACAGGGAGATTAAAAGCCGAAGTGCTGTTGAAATGATTTCCTCCTCAAAAAAAAAAAAAAAAAAAAAAAAAAAAAAAAAAAAAAAAAAAAAAAAAAAAAAAAAAAAAAAAAAAAAAAAAAGAGAGAGAGGAGAAGGGGAGAAAGAAGCTCCTAGGAGAGAGGGAGTCTTGACGAGGTATGCCTGATCTTCCTTCACCACGTGACGAACGTCTCCCGACGCGGAGGTCAGTAGGAACGTGGGGGGGGCTGGACGTACCAAAGGGAACCTCGGCAGGATAAACCAGTTCCCCCATGGCCCGTAGGCCGGTGAACACCTTTCTGCCGAAGCAGAAGGTTAGTAGGGCCACGGATATGGGGCGACGAAGCAGGGAATCCCGACGTGGATAAACCAGTGACCTCCTTGCGATCGTTGGATGACCGAACGTCTTCTTCGAGGAAAGAAGATTAGTAGGACCACGACAAGGACGAACGAAGCCTAGTTCTTCCCCCTGATGAGCGCGTGACGAAAGCCTTCTGCGAAGCCAGAAGGCTAGTAGTTCGCGGCTGGGGACGAATGGAGATAGGGAATCCCGACGTGGATAAACCTGCTCTTTCTCGAGGCGGGGATGGCGAACGTCTCCTACGAAACCAGGAGACAAGTACCCACGAAGCTAGAGAAGGACAAAGACTGATGAAAAGACTCCAAAAAAAAAAAAAAAAAAAAAAAAAAAAAAAAAAAAAAAAAAAAAAAAAAAAAAAAAAAAAAAAAAAAAAAAAAAAAAAAAAAAAAAAAAAAAAAGAGAGATACGGAGACATGGAGCAAATAATGATTTTTATTCTTCGGCACTGATGACCGGAAAGTACAATGTGTAATGAAAATTACAGTGTAAATAATTGTGAAGTACAGACTATGAGCGGAGAGTTAAGTTTGGCCGGCGTCAGGAGTTGGGGCCGAAAAGGGGACCTGCCTGGTTTTTTCCCTGGCCTCAGCTTCTTCGCGCTCCTTACGCTCCCTCAGCAGTTCAAGGGCCCCCTTATGGGCGTCCACCATCAGGGAATCAAAGCCAGCTGCCGCAGGATCAAAAGGGGCCCCAAAGTGACGCTCAAAGACAGGAAGGTTCTCTGCCACAAGGCCGACCATACCCTTGAGATAAGTATCGTCGGCAAGATCATCAAGGAAGCGCTCCCCAGTGGGGGTGGCCTGAAGCAGCTTGATACCATCTAGATAAGGGTCCGGGCAGGTGGCCAAGAACTCGCCGACGAACCTCGGAAGGAATTTCCTGGCCATGGTCTGGATGGCACCGGTGTAGGCTTTGGACTTCTGGAACTCGATGGAACCAGACTCCTTGATCTTCGAAACATCGGCTTCATAGATGGGGACATGATTATCCACACCCGTACGGCGGATCCCCACCTTAGCCTGTTCCACAGCCCACAGCCGGCTGCGAAGATCTACAAGCTCGGCCTCCTGCTTCCGAAGGAGTTCCTTCTGGGAAGCGTTCTCCTGGACGAGCTTATCATAGGCGTCAGCCTTCTCTTGGAGCGTCCCAGCCCTGCCTTTGGCATTCTTCAGAAGGGCGTCGCATTCAGCCCGCACCCGGGCCATTTCCCTGCCTTGACTCTCAAAGGCCATCCGAGCCCGGTGGAAATATAACCCGGCCTTGTCAAGAGTGCTCTGCCCACACTCCAGGAGATCCTCAGGAGCTTCCTGGGCGGCGAAATCCTGGGGGACCTTGAGGTTAAGGCCACACCAGATTGAAGATGCGGTCTGGCCGAAGAGCATCATCGATTCCTTACGAGGGCCAACCCCCGAGAATTCGATAAGGCCAAGGGAGGACCCGTTGGTTTCTGGGGGCGAAGGGGGACGAGCATCGTCAGAACCCTTGGAAGCAGGGACATCTTCATCCCTAAGTCGACGGACCTCAGAATTGGCCGGAGGGGAGACAGGGGGCTTGTTCCGGGAGGAGGGCCTCCGCTTCAGGGGACTCCCCGGCTCACCGTCGGAGTCATCAGCCACTATGATGGCTTTGGAGGCGGTACCATCAATGCGGAGCCTCTTCGAAGCCCCGTCCTCTGGTGCGTCATCTGACCGCCTCCTGCTCGTCCGAGGCTCAATTTTGGGGACGAGCGGCTTCCTGCCCTTATCCTCATGCCTGTTGTCGCGGCCACGGGCATGCGAAGTAATATGATTGCGCCCCATGGATGATATAGTTGGGAATACTCCTGCAGGAAGAAAATCAAGACGTTCAGAATCGTAACAACTAGAAGATGACAGGACAATGCAAGTACAAATAGACGCACCTAGCCCGGCCCGGGCCTTGAAAGGCTCGGCCACCAGCGACCGGAGGTTCTGAACGCCAAGACCAGCTATGCGCTTGGCATAGCCGAGCTCCTCATCCGTCATGGGCGGCGGGATGGACTTCACCGGATAGGCGTTCCACCTATCGGAGAATGGCATCGGGGAGCCCACTTCGGCAAGGAAGAACCGCTCCTCCCAGCCGTCCGGATTCCCGGCATTGTTAGAAAACAGGACCATGGACGGACGCGCGATCAGGGTTAAATACCCCGTACGTCCGAAAGGAGATAGCCGGAAGAAATGTTGCAGCAGGTCCACGGTGGGGGTCACGTCAACGCTGTGACATCTAATTATAAAACCCGCGATAATCCTATAAGCAGCAGGGACGAACTGAGCGGGTGTCACCCGGAGGTCCCTAAAAAGCTCTATGTGGAAGCTGTGGAGGGGAAACAGGAGGCCGGCTATGACAGAGTCCAAGTGGACCACCACGTAGCCGGGCAAATGGCGCATTGGGTTGCGCAGAATCCGATCGTCGTAACCCCTTGGGGGAAGGAACCATTGGCTTATCAACCGACGATCGGCGTTCAAGAGACGCTGGCGCTGGCGACGAACGCAAGAGAAATTCAGGTGATGACGGGGGGGCCACGGTGGCATACCCCGCTCATAGAACTCTAGGTCATCACCAGAGGAGCACCCATCGTCAAACCTATCAATAGTTTGGGACCCTGATATGGACAGAGACATGACGACGTTCGGTACCTACAGATGCTGAAGTCGGAAGCGATACCAAAGGAAGCTAGAGAGAGGAAATGATTGTGCAGCACAAGAGCGAGAAATGGAGCAAATGGAGGTTTCACAAGGCCTTGGGTACTTATAGGCAGCACCGCGAGGCTGCGCCAATCACGGTGGAACACGTGGCATCCGGATACCGGTACCCACCGCGGTATTGAAGGCTCCTCGATGTTATCACCTCACAGTCACTGCGAATTAATCTGGCTTGATGCCACGAACGTCCCCCGAAGGGGCAAACAGAGGACGAACCTGCAAGCCAAATTCACAGGAAGACGTATGTGTGTGCCTGAAGGTCCCATGTTCACATCAGACGCACGTCCGAGACGGGTACCTGGCTTAAGCGCAGGCGCAAAAGGGTACGCTACTCCGGAAGCGGCGATCTCCCCCATTAAGCACAGACGCATCCGACGAGCGTCTTCGCCAACTCTGGCCCGGGGGGTTACGGCCGCAACCCGCGCATCTTGGGGAGTGGTTTACATATGTGATGCTCCCAAAGCATACGCTCATACCCCGATGGATCGAGGAACAGGAATGGAGTGTGGACGTGAGCGACCCCACGGACGGTTACGCAAACAGCCAAGAGACGGGCGTCTTCACCAACTGATTCGAAAGAACTGCCGCATCTTCGCACGTCTTCCTTCTGACGAACGGATTTGGGGATGGAATATATGTGGGGTGCTCTCAGGCATACGTTCGTATCCCGAGGAAAGTTATGGACATGAACATCCCCGAGGAAAAACGAAAAACTACCAACGAAGAAAGGAGATAAAAAGAGTTCACGAGCGTAGAGACAATGATAAGGCAAAAAAGAGTTGTATATTCTTCGGCTCTACTGGCCGGATAAGTACAGGATCAAAACAAATAAACTACGAGCTACACTACACAAAATTTGGAGAAATGGGCCGGGATCCCCCAGGGATGGTTTCCTCTTCCTCCTCAGGTTCGGGCTCGGGGGACGGGGGCTCTGGGACCTCCCCCCTGGCCCTGGCCTCCTCCCGCCGGGCGTCCCGTCTCAGCTTGCCCACGGCCCGGATCAGCTCTGGGTCTGAGGTATGCTCGGCCAGATCAAATCGGGGGCCCTGAAGAGCGGTAAAGACCGGCAATGTGGCTTTCACCCCCTCGTTGAAGCCAATGACGAAGGAGCTATCCCCGACATCATACAGGAACTTCTCGGCCAGGGGCGCACTCTCCAGGATTCGGACCCCGAATTTGAGGCGGTCCTTGGGCGCCTGCTTTTGCAGCTCGGCAGCGAAGACATCACCAAAGGCGCCCCCAAGGTACCTCTGGGCGGCAATCATGAAGGCCCCGGAGTTGTGGTACCCAGAATCGTCGACGAGCCATTCAGGGTTTTCGTCTTTGGGGGCAGGGAGAGCTGGGACGAGCTTGAACCCGGCCTTCTCGAGGACCGCGAGCTTCGCGGAGGACTCACGAGCTGCCTTCAGGGCGGCCTGCAATTCTTTATCCTTGGCCGCAAGCTCCTTTTCCTGAAGACGAGCGGCCTCTCTCGCCTTCTTCAGAGCAGCATCTGCCTTGGTCTTCGCCTGGAGGACCTCGGCATCTCGGGCAGCCTCAGACTGCAGAACGGAGAGCCCGACCTACAAATCGGATGCGGGAGGTGAGACTTCAAAACATTAGAATAAAAGTGATCAGGCAACACGCGCGGAGCGAGATCTTACCTGAAGAGCGGCGGCCAGGGCCGCATTGGAGGCTTCCGAAGACGTGCGGGGAGGCATCTCCACGCCGGCCAGAGAGGCAACCTCCTGCCAAACGTCATGCGCCGGACGTCCGAGAGAGGGGAGGATCACCCCTTGCCCTTCAAGGGCCGAAGAACCAGTTCCCCTGGGCCTTTTGGACTTTTTGTCCGCTTTCTCCCCCTCCTGGGGATGGACGGCCTGCAGGGGCGCCACAACCTCGGGGACGCCAGAATCAAGGACTGGGGCCTGGGACCCTTGTGCCAACACCGTGGCAATGAGGTGCTGCTCCGCCTCCACGGTGCGACGATCGGCCTGGGAGGCGGAAGAGTTGGAGTCAGCTGCCTGGACGGTTTTGGCCTTGGCAAGGGCAGCGTCGGCCGCGGCGCCCTTCCCCTTCCGATTCTTGAGGAGTTTTTCGTGATTCATCTGCTCCTGGGTTGGGGGAAGACCTGAAAAAGACAAAGGAAATGGGTTAGATGGACGAACGTCAGTAAAAAATCACCTCGGAGGAGAGGACCGCCCAATACCCCGAGACGAGCGTAGAAGGGGAGATGTCCAAGAGCATGGGCGGTACCTATTCCTGCCGCGGCGAGCGCCTCGAAGGTTAAGAAGTCGTCTAAGGGGCGGATGCCGCCCGTCGAGATCTTTTTGATGTCCTCCTGCAGATCGTTGGTCAGCTCCGGAGATCCAATCTTGGGCGGATAGCCATTCCAACGCAACGGCAGACGAGCATCCGCGTACCGCACGAAGAAAAACCGATTCTTCCAGTCGTGGATGGAGCTCGGTGCTCCGCTGAACAACCTCCGTTTCGGACGAGCAGCAATGCTCAGGAAGCCGTCAGAATTTTGGGGGGTGAGCCGGTAGAAATAATGGAACAAGTCCAGAGTGGCGGTGACCCCGTGGTCCTTGCAACGGACTAGGAAGGCGGAGAGCCACCGATAGGAATTCGGCATGAGTTGAGCGGGGGCTATCTGGTAACAACAGAAGAATTCCACGAAGAACGGATGAAGAGGGAAGCGCAGCCCAGCCTCGATGGAATCCAGAAGCACCATAATCATCCCTGGGCGTCTCCTCATCACGTGGGTTGCACCACGTAGGCTGTATACGGACGGAGGGGGGAAGAACACCTTCAGTTTGTTGAGGGCCACCGGCGAGAAGATCTGCTCATGGCACAAGACATTCTTGATCGGGCACAGATGCCTCTCCACATCTATCTTCAGCCCAAGTTCGAATACTTCGATGTCGGAGCCATCCTGAGCCTCAACCCCAGAGTCATACCCGTCTGGACGCTCGTCCTCACCAGCGGGCTCCTGTTCCCCGGCTTCAGCCACAGGATCCACAACATCGAGGGCCATATTCCCTTGCCCCCCCAAGTCGGCACCTTCTTCACCAGGAACCACCACAGCAACCACATCTTGGGCATCCCCGGCCTGGACCGTTCCCACGGTAGAGGCTGAACCGGAACTCCCGGAAGTGCTAGTCTCACCCGAAGAGCGTGAACCGGAGTCAGAGGAGGAGCCCGAAGAAGAACCCGATGAACCCGAAGAAGAACCCGATGAACCCGAACCAGAACTCGATGAGATCTCCATCGAAACCATCTCGGCAAGAATTCAAGACAAAGGAAAGAAGCAGGGGGTGGAAATTACCTTAGCAAGGAGTTAGCCGAGCTTGGATTCAGGAAACTTGAAGAGCTGCAGAAAATCGAGAGCAAGAAAGCAGAAATTGGGAACCCTAATTCAGAGGGAAAACCCAGCATTTATAGGAGAAACACCGATGAAGAAACGAATGAGGGGCTGACACGTGGCAAGGAGCGTATTCCGGCCCACGCGCTGTGCGTGGGATGGAAACGTAATGATGACACTTCCTCGGGAAAATGCGCCGCCGCAACATCAGCCGTCACCTCGTTTCCTGGACCGTCAACGGCTGTCAAGCACCATGACCACGAACGCACGCTTCCACCAGGTGCAATAAACACAAGTACCAAGATACGGACGTCCACTTCGGGGAGGTTCATACTTCCTTATGTCCTGCGCATGCTCAGAACATCAGAAGTGGGGGACTTGTGTTGGGTTAAGGGCCCAAGCCGAGGTCCGGCCCACTAACCCATTTTGCTAGACGAACATCCAGTTAGAACACTAGGCCAACCCACGGGCCCATGTTCCCTGAGGATGGACGAACGTCTGGTGTTGGGGGACTCAGGCCCAGCAGCTCATCCCGACGAACGTATATGCAGGGACAAGGAGCAGAACCACGGGCCACCAGGGATGGCGACGAACGTCCCCACTACAAGCCTGTAGTCATCGGGGAAACCCAGTCCGCATGACGAATACCATCCAAGGCCAGGAGACGAACAGCCGATATCTCTCAAGGGTACACTTGGAGCAATCCAACTCACTTCCCGGGTTGATGAACGTCCCCACTAATCCGGCGGGAAACCTAGATTCTGGCGGGAAGTGCATTTAATGCTAAAGATTTGGTAGTTGGGACACCAGCGGTCCACAGGCTGCCACGTCACTACAGCCACCTGCCCATTGGCGGGTATAAATAGAAGCATTTATTTCATTGTAAGGGGTTGGCAACTTTCTATTCTTAGCACTAGCTATAGCATCCTTACTCGCAGCACTTCTACTGCCTTGTAAGACGAACGGCCGACGGAGCCCTTAGCAAGAAGTATTGTATTAGGGAGTTATTAAGAGATAATAATACCGAACCATTTACTTGCTACTTCTTGTTCTCTATAGTTCATATCATCTGCTTGTTGGGTTAGATATCATACACTCACTCCACTCGAAATCTTTGGGCTTACGTGTTGGGTCCAAGGGTTGAAGGAATAAACCTCAACATTCCCGAACTAACTGGTGACAACTATAAGGTTTGGAGAGAAAGAGTTCTCCTACACTTAGGTTGCATAGACATTGATTATGCTATTAGGATGGATGAACCGCCTGCCATTTATGCACAAAGTACTCCGGCTGAAATTGTGCTATATGAGCGATGGGAGAGATCCAATCGGCTCAGCGTAATGTTTATCAAAACTAAAATTTCAGCTGGAATTCGTGGCTCGGTTGATCAGCATAAGAATGTCAATGACTTGCTTAAGGCTATTGATGATCAATTTGTCACTTCCGAAAAGGCCTTAGCAAGTACCTTAATCATGAAATTCTCCTAACTCCATCTCACAACCGTTAAGGGTGTGCGAGAGCACATCATGAAGATGCGGGACATAGCGGCTCAATTGCAAAATTTGGAGGTAACAATGTCAGAGGCGTTCTTGGTGCACTTCATTCTGAATACCCTTCCTCACCACTATGGGCCATTTAAAATCTCACTTCATAAGGATAAGTGGTCAATTAATGAACTAATGACCATGTGTGTGCAAGAAGAAGAAAGACTCATAATGGAGTTGGTGAAAGTGTCATGCTAGCTACAACCTTAGCCAAGAACAAATTTGACAAGTCTCGTACAACCACCTCTAAAGCTAAGGGTAAAGGTAAAATACCACCCAAAGCTGACATTGAGAAGGTACATAAGTGTTATTTCTGTAAAAAGAAAGGACACATGAAGAAAGATTGTGCCAAGTTCAAGAAGTGGTTGGAGAATAAATGTAATTTATCCTCCTTTGTTTGTCATGAATCCAATATGTGTGATGTTAACACTAATTCATGGTGGATTGATTCTGGTTCTACAATCCACGTTGCAAACTCTTTACAGGGTATGCAGAATCTAAGGAAGCCAGTGGGAAGTGAGCAAAGCATCTTATCTGGAAACAAGATGGGCTCACATGTGGAAGCCATTGGAACATGCACTTTGATTTTAAGTAGTGGCTTTGTTTTAACTTTGGAAAAGACTTTTTATGTACCAAGTTTCTCACGAAACTTGATTTCAATTTCAAGACTAGTACCATTCGGTTTTTCCTTCAATTTCAAGAATAAAGTTATTGAAATATTTAATAAATCAATTTTTGTTGGAAAAGGTACTTTGTCTGATGGTCTTTACCGTATTGATTTGCAAAATGATGCCACACTTAATTCATTTCATGTGCATACTGGCTCCAAAAGATCTGGTGTTGACGAGAATTCCTCTGTGTTATGGCACCGAAGATTGGGTCACATCTCCGTTGAAAGAATTAAGCGATTAGTTAATGATGGGGTACTTAGTACTCTTGATTTTTATGATTTTGAAACTTGTGTAGACTGCATTAAGAGTAAGCAGACAAACAAGTTTAAAAAGAGTGCCAATAGGAGTTCAAGTATATTGGAAATCATACATACTGATATATGTTGTCCAGAAATGGACATGCCGGGTCAGAAATATTTTATCACTTTTATTGATGATTATTCTCGGTATACCTATGTGTAGTTGCTTCAAAATAAGTATGAAGCATTGGATGCCTTCAAGTCTTTTAAGGCTGAAGTTGAGAACCAATGTGGGAAGCGAATACAAATAGTTAGATCCGATAGAGGTGGTGAATATTATGGTAGATACACTGAAAATAGACAAGCACCTAGTGCGTTTGCTAAGTTTCTTCAAGAACATGGGATTGTTGCCCAATTCACTATGCCTGGGTCTCCGGGCCAAAATGGTGTTCCCGAAAGGAGAAACCGAACGCTTATAGACATGGTGTGAAGTATGCTTAGCAACTCCAATCTTCCTAAGTTTTTGTGGGATGAAGCGCTTAAGACGGCAACGTATATATTGAATCGGGTTCCAACCAAGGCTGTCCCTCAGACACCTTTTGAGTTATTCAAAGGTTGGAAACCGAGTTTGAAACATATGCGTATTTGGGGATGCCCGTCTGAAGTGAGAATTTATGACCCACATGAGAAGAAACTGGACCCAAGGACTATTAGTGGTTACTTTATTTGATACGCGCATTCCTCTAAGAGTTACAGGTTTTATTGTCCATCTCATACGACTAGGATTGTGGAATCAAGAAATGCAAAATTTCTTAAGAATGACATAGTTAGTGGGAAAGATCGGTTCAGGGACTTAATTCTTGTTCATGATCATACGAAATCCCAACCTTCCACGTCATCACAGAGGTTGATTATTGTACCCAGTACCCCTCAAGATCAAATTGGTACTGATCAACCTAATACGGAAATTCCACAATATGCTGGAAATATTCCAGTGGATCAACCTATTCAGGAAAATCAAATTCTTGATGAGGTAGTTGAACCTGAAGATCCTCATGGAGATGACGGTTCAGCATTAAGAAGATCTACTCGAGTTAGAAGGCCGGCAATTCCTAGTGATTATGAAGTGTATTTGCAAGAAACTGACATTGGAGTCGAAAATGATCCTGAGACGTTTTCACAAGCCATGAGTAGCTAGGAGTCTGATTTATGGCACAAAGCCATGAAGGAAGAAATGGACTCCATGAAGAGTAACAAAGTCCGGTATCTAGTAGAGTTGCCTAATGGGGCCAAGGCTGTTGGCTGCAAATGGGTCTATAAGACCAAAAGGGATTCATTAGGCAACATTGATAGATATAAAGCAAGACTTGTTGCTAAAGGTTTTACTCAAATCGAAGGAATTGACTACAAGGAGACATTCTCTCCTGTTTCTAAGAAAGACTCCCTTCGTGTGATTTTAGCCTTAGTTGCACATTTGAATCTTGAATTGCAACAAATGGATGTGAAAACGGCCTTTCTTAATGGTGATCTAGAAGAAGAGGTTTACATGAAACAACCTGAAGGTTTGCAAGCTTAATAAATCCATTTACGGTTTAAAACAAGCCTCCCGACAATGGTATCTTAAGTTTGATGGGATAATTTCTTCCTTTGGTTTTGTTGAAAGTCCCATGGATCATTGTATATACCAGAAGGTTAGTGGGAGTAAAATTTGTTTTCTTGTTTTATATGTGGATGACATTTTGCTCGCAACAAATGATAAGGGGATGTTACATAAAGTGAAACAATTTCTCTTTAAAAACTTTGATATGAAGGATATGGGTGAGGCATCTTTTGTCATTGGCATAAAGATCCATATGGATATATCTCTTGGTGTCCTAGGTCTATCACAAGAAACCTATATCAACAAAGTTTTAGAGAGGTTTCGGATGAAGGATTGTTCACCGAGTGTTGCTCCCATAGTGAGAGGAGATAAATTCAGTTTGGACCAATGTCCAAAGAATGATTTTGAAAGAAAATCCATGCATAATATTCCATATGCGTCAGCAGTTGGTTGCTTGGGATATATCCAGGTTTGTACCAGGCCATATATTTCCTTTGCTATCGGGATGTTGGGCCGTTACCAAAGTAATCCGGGTTTGGACCATGATACGCTTGTAATTTCCGTATGTATGTTTACGTTTTTAGTTAGTTTTAGTTGTTTAATATTTCGGAAATTACACACTTTTGGTGTAATAGTTATGTTTGTAAAATAGTTGTAATATGTTTAGATTAGGTTTATTCTGAGCTTAAACAGGTCCAAGATCAATCAAATGATCATTGGTGAAGGAAGGTGCAAGAGTACAAGACAAAAAGAAGGCAAAATCATGATTTTTGACCTGTACCCGGTCGAGTATACCATGTACTCGATCGGGTACCAACTTGACTTTCAATCAGATCAATCAGGAAACAAAGGGACGTGCAGGGGAAGATTTGGCCACGATCAGTTGTCATACCCGATCGGGTACACCGACACACCCGATCGGGTATGCCTTTTATTTTTACCCTGGAATCGATCGAGTAAAGCTCGAATTCAACATTCTGCAAATACCCGATCGGGTACCCTATGTGTACTCGATCGGGTACCCAAGCTGCACTCCTAAAAAGCCTATAAATACACCTCCTTCCCTTCACAATTAGACATCAATTCCTTTATACTCTTAAGCTCAGTTTAGAATAGCATTTCTTTATATTTTTCTAGCATGTTTAGTCTCCAAATGAGGAGCTAAACTTCCATTTCTTGGTTTTGCTCTTGAAGCTTGTTGATTTATAAAT